GACATTTCAGATTTTGAAAACTAGATTTTATCGGCAATTAAAGGAAAACAATTTGATCATTTAATTGAAGTGATTGCTTTTGAAAAAAAGGAGAAAGCTGCTTACACAATTATGGAACTTGGTGAAAAGTTTGATTTAAGTAAAATTTTGAATAAAAAGAATGCATGCTTGCAAGTAAAAATATAAATATTTTAGATGGCAAAAGGTGTTTAAGAATTACATAAATTAGGATTTTTTCATCGGGATTTAAAACCTGGTAATTTTGTAATAGGGAAGGACAATAAAATCAAATTGATTGATTTTGGGATCTCAAAAAAATTGAAGAGAAATCCTAAACCCAAATGCAAGGAACATATCAATATATGGCTCCAGAAATATTAAAAACCTAAGTTTATGACCATTCGGTTGATATTTGGTCTTTGGGATTGGTTTTTTATGAGGTCTTCCTAGGTTTAGTATTTTTTACAAATAAATAAGAGGGTGAAATGATTGATGACCTAATTTAAATCAAGCAAATATAAATCAATGAAAAATTAAGAGCAAATAAAATTTAGAATAATGGTAATAAAAATTACTGTAAAAAATGATTATTCAAAGATTAGATAATGAAAAAAAATTAAATAAGGATGTGAAAAGAATCAGTATTGATGAAGTAATTCGTTAACTTGAAGAAGTAGATGAGTTAAATAAATTAGATGGTAATTCAGGTTATGCTAGTGATGATAAGTCTATCCATTTATAGTATTTAAAGCAGTATAATCCAAATTAATTTAATTTAGGGGAAAAAACGAAAAACACTATTGAGCAAAATAATATTTAGAAATGTATATAAAAAGCCATTCAAGAAAAAATTGTAGAATATGTTTAATTGAAATAAGGATTAAAATTATCTATAAATCAATTAGGTGCTAAATTGAATGGAGAATTGTAATATTATGAGTTAGGAGAATAAAAGTACGATTATTAATATAAAAAAATTATTTTTATTGGAGAAAAAGATGTCGGGAAGACGATATTAATAAATTCATTTGTTAATTATTTTTTTAGAATTACATTAGATGATAATTTTAGATTAATTGTAGCAAATTAAGAACCAACCACTAAAATATCTCATTATTATCTTGGATCTTATTAAAGACAGTATGGAATTAATTTAATACATACCTGGTACTTACGGATATAATAATGAGTAAATTAAGATGGTATACGACTTCATTAATAAAGAGAAATAATTAATTGATATATTTGTTATTTGTTTAAAAGTAACAGAATAGCGACTAACCTTAGAAACCAAATAAATATTAGAGTTGATTGTGAATGTTTAGGCAAAGATTCTAAAGAATATGCTAATAAAATAATAGTTGCTCGTACGTTTTTTTAAGGAAGAAATCTGGACGAATCTATATTAACTTATCCTAGTAGTCCCTTTTGAGAGATTACTAAATGGTTACCTAATAATTTGCATCTGGGATTTAACGGAGGTTCTGTTGTTAGGGAAGTAACAAACCGCATTGATAGAATG